CGGATTCATAATGAATAATCTAGTTTAACTGGATGAGCAGCGCTAAAAAGTTCAAATAGTAAACATATTGAACTATTACCAATAAATTTGTGTTGAATATCCATGAAAAGTGATTAAATTAAATAAAATGAAGTGACATTTACACCTCGTGTGACAAGTGATGACTCCTATTAAGGTGTAACAAAGTGTTTGATTGAAAGCTGCCGTACTATAGACCCGTAGGTCTAGAATGTATCAACCGCATATACAGCGCTAATGATTCAATTAGTGGTCATTAAAGTATAAGTGTATACATCCAAACTGTTATTTAACAGATAATGGGGAGGGGGCGGCTGGTTCAACAACTATCAAGTTTGGTATGGTAGACCCGGGTCTACCATACTCGTTATCAGTTATCAGTTATAAACTAGATTTGAACACTGCACATCCAAGCAAAGGTTTAAAGATCTAGAATCATATGGGGACAGAAAGAGTTTCCTGTCACTTGGAAATTAGGAAACTTGCAAAATCCTCCTACATAAAGACTTCTAAAAAGTAAAACTTTACTAAAAAAAAGCCCCCCCCCCCCCCCCAAAGGAGGGGGAAATGTGCCTGCGTCTTATGGAGCGAATCCCGACACCCGAGACATGCAGATTCGGGCGCCGGGCGAGTAGTGCTTTGTACATTTAGCTCTGCCAGAGCAGAGCTAAATGTACAGTAGGAGCCCACTGCTCGTTTAATACGAGTGATCTAATGAGATCACTCGTATTAAAACCGAGCAGTGGCGATCGAGATCACCATAGAGCAGACGAAGAACGGATGTTCTTCGTCTGCTCTGTGTGATCACTGAGTCCGTGGCGCTGTAATCACAGCGCCACCTGTCTCAGCGGTCACTAACTGCAGCTTATGTCACAGCTTGTGTCACAGAAGCTGTGGCAGAAGCTACGGTCTTTCGAGGGCTTTATAAGGCGCACCGAACCTCCCTGCGTCCTATGGTCCAGTAATAGTTAATTTGTATTCAGTTCCATATCCTGGACCACTGAACCTGTCTGGGATCCCAGATTCCAGTGTGCTGGCCAGATAGATAAGAACCTTTGGAGGTTGGTGGGGCTTCTGTTGGTACCATGCTAGATAGCTGTTGCTACCAATACTTAAGGAGCTGCTGGATGTTACATAGTTACATAGTTACATAGTATTTGAGGTTGAATAAAGACATTAGTCCATCAAGTCCAACCTATTAGGATCTCATTCTAGGAGTACCCGTACCCCTGTATATTACGGTCCCTTAAGAAATCGTCCAAAAGTTTCTTGAACAATTCCACATTATTTGCTGAAATCACCGCCTGTGGCAGTGAGTTCCAGACCCTAACTGATCTTACTGTGAAGAACCCCCTTCGCCCCTTGTGCTGGAATTTTTTTTCCATCAATTTTAGGTGATGGCCTCTAGTTTTTGTAACGGAGTTAATTTTAAACAGTTTATCGCTAATGTTGCTACCACCATTAAACATTTTGTACATGGAAATCATATCCCCCCTTAATCTCCTCACCTCTAATGTGAACATGTTTAAATTTAGTAGCCTCGTCTCGTAGCTCTGGTCCTCCATACCCCTAATTAGTTTGGTTGCCCTTCGCTGGACTTTTTCCAACTCAAGGACATCTTTTCTTAGTACTGGTGACCAGAACTGGACCGCGTACTCCAGATGAGGTCGAACCAATGATCTATAAAGTGGCAAAATTATAGACTTGTCCCTGCAATACATCCCCTTTTTAATACAGGACAAGACCCTGCTAGCTTTGTTTACAGCAGCCTGGCACTGCAAACTACCTTTCAGTACATGTATGTACATGTGATAGTGACTGTCTGTCCCGGGGACACAGAGATAGAATCCGGAGTCTGAGTCATCACAATCTGTCCACAGGATCCTGAGGATGTGAAGAGACATATTGATTATTGATAAATGTCTGCATATCTTCCTATCAATCCTGATGTGTGTATTTATTGTACAATGTATAGATGTATGTGCAGAAGATGATGGAAGGATCCTCATCTCTCACCCTGAATAGAAATGAAGAGGACGGCCAGCAGATAACTGTGAGAAAGCATCTTGATGTTTGTGGAGTGTCAGATACAAAGTAGAAGACGTCTCCTGTACAATGAGATATATATATAGAGAGAGTGACAGGGGAGATGTTACACCCCACACACTTTGTATGCAAAAAATGAAATCATGCAAAATCTGTAGTTGTCTTTTCCCGACTACAGATGAGAAACATTTTTTTGAGCTCAGTGCCTCCCAGGTTAATGTGAGCAGAGCACATTTCCACCTTGTTCTGCCACAATGCCCCTCTAGGTCTATGAGTGACTCAAGCTGCTAACTGGGAGCTATTCAGAGCTTCACCCTGTGCAACACTGGAGCATTATCCATAGAATGATATCAGGATGCTGCTGTTAATAATCCCCCAGTAATTCTAAAAAAATTTAAGGAGTCAAATAAAGAGTCATATCTGAACCATGTTGTGCATCAAAGTGTATGTAAAGCAAAAAAAAAAGTTTTTGTTCTGAATTTTGGATATATTATGTCTGGGAAAAATCTCATTTTCCAGGTCATGGTTTAGCTAGTAGTAATTAGTCACATTTAACTGGACTTGTACTGTAATGTTGAAGACACGTTCTATGGAGTTTCAGGAACGTACCCTGGTATTTATATCCATGCAGGTAGCTCAATCTAATCATCATGGAATATGTCAAGACCTCTTTTTCTTTATGTCTTTTATTGATCAAATGATGTTATTTAGACCTTGAAACTTCACAATCAGTGTTTTAGAAGCAACATTGGATTGGCACAGCTATGGGGGATCTTGTAGTAGTGCTTGTCAGGTACACTGACAGTCCATAATAGAAGTCACCAGCACTCGATGATATGTGCAAGAAGTAAAGCACTTTTTACTAAATTGTCACATGCGTCATACAGCCAACGTTTTGGGGCCATGCAGGGTCCCTTCTTCTAGGCTACATAGTGACAACAACAAGTATGCAAATTCAGCTTTTAAATAGTGAGACCACGCAGAATACACCCTAGAACCTCCCCATAATGTCACATTGACGTCAAATCCCACCATAATTTGAAAGTAAAAATAACATATAAACAAACACAATAAAGTGCAGAATGAAACCCCAATGCATAGATAATGTTAGTTTCACTGACCTCATAACTCCTAGATGGTGATAAGAGAAAGGAACAGCTTGAATGTGAAGTCTGACACCAAATAGCTACCGTGTCAGTGAAGACGGGTTGCTGTTATTATGGACTGTATCTGACACGGCACCATCCATGTTGTCACTTCGAGCACCCTCCGTTAAGGTCTGTATGCTGTATGGAGTGCAGGTGATTTCATGTTATTGAAGGCACAGTGACAGGAGACAAGTGAGCTCATCCACAGCATGGTGTGAGATAGTCCTTCTTCCGTTCGGAAAAATATAATATACTACCGGTAATGATAATGGATCACTTCACCTAAAACTGATATTTCAGTATTTGGTAGATGCTGGAGTTGAACCACCCACCAGTGTCTTATACGTATATTGAGGGGACTTCAGTGGCGAGATTTCTGCATATGCATTCCCTGGTTTACAAACCTCACATTTCCATTACAAAAGGGTCCCACTCTCCATAATTTAGTTTACATTACAGATAATGTCACTGGAGGAGTAGGGACACCCTATGGTGGCTGGAAACATCCAAAACACTGAGCAGAGTGGGATCAAAGCTTTGAACTATTGCAGAGGGCTCTCATCTAGTGTCCAGGAGATACATGACAGAGGCAGGCAATTCATTACACTGGAGTCCACATGGAAATTAAATAATACTATTTATTAGCATTGACTTTTACAGTTTGTAAATGCTAAAATTCTGGTGATGTGTAGTGATGGGTAAAATTGTTCAGATTTGATTTGCAGGTGCGTTCAAGGAACATGCTGAAAACATAATAATTTCCAAACTTTAATGCAAACCCCATTGAAATCAATAGGAGGCCAAATGTTAAATATTAATTCTCTCCATTTTCTATGCTACTAGTCAAGGGATTAAAAAAGTGCATGGTGGGGGCTGAGCAGTACTCTGGAGAACATTTACCAAAGCAAGAATAAAATAAAAAAAATGTATGCCAGGGAGCAGAGATGTTAATAATGCTTAAACAGCAACATTACAATATCTC